CCCCAGAGGGGGCTCCCCTGGGGCGGGGCTAAGCCCCCCAACACACACACACACACACACACACACTGCCTCTCCCTGTGCGGTCTAAGGGCTCAGCAGAAAGAGAAGCCAGGTTCTGCAGTGCCCTAACTTGCTATGTGACTCTGGGCAAGTCCAGGCCTCTCTCTGGGTCCGGCACTGGAGACCTACGAGCACCACCACAGTGCGGAGCAGGCTTTCAGGGCGGGGAGGAGCCCCCACACCACACTCCCCACACCCGCCAGCCCTCAGCCATGCTGAGAAACTCAGAGCGGAGCTGAGGACGCTCCTAGGGTGGCCCCAGATGAGAGCTTCTACTCGATGGAGGGACAGGCATGAGACAGGGATACTTGGGCTTGGGGCCATCGACCGCCACCCCTGGCCAGACCTCCCACATCTTCAGGCTTGGTGACTGGATAGAAGGGCTCCTCTTCCAGCCAGCACAGCCCGGGCATGGCCAGGCCATCACCCCAGCCTCACTGGCCCACAGCACAGTCCCTCCTCGACTCGCCTGGCCAGACCTTGACCCCTGGTGGACGAGTAGGTGGATTCCGGGACACACTGTGTACGTGGGACCGCACCACTCCAGGGACACACATGCCAGTCACCAGCTACGTAAACAGAACCCCCGATCTGCACAGCGTGCGACCCGCACAGCTGGCCTGGCAGCCCTGAGGGCAGGACTGTGGCTCCAGGGAGTCCCGGCTGTCTCTCTGCCCAGTTCCCAGGAAGCTGGGCCAATTACCTGCTTCTCACATTCGGCCTCACTCCTTGCTGGTACTGCAGGGTCAGACCAAGTTTGCGAACACACCTAGGCCCGCCTGGCAGCAGTCTGTTTAAGAACCTGAGATCGGTTTTAAAGCAAAAGACATCAGGAGGTTATGAAGGGAGGGGATGAGGAGAAGGGGGACGAGTCGGGGTCCGAGCTGGCCCCCTCCTCAGGAACTCTGCAAGCCAGGCCTGGGCCACAGGGCTGCAGCAGCCCTCCTGTTGGTATGGAGACCTGCTCCAGGGAAGCTGCCAGGAAGACAGGGAGAGGACAAAGCATGTTTCTGAGGTGAGGCCCATCATGTGGGGCAAAGGGCACGAGGCCTCTGAGTGCCAAGGAACCTCCCTGCTGACTCAGTGACCAGGTACTGCCACTGTCCTCGGGCTGCTGGGTAGAAGCTTCCTCTACCCTGGGACGAAGGCTAGGGTGTTACCAAACAGGCCCTGGGCTCTGGGCTCAGGTGAACCTGGGATTGAGGGGACGCGCATCCCATGCAGCTCAGGGCCCCAGCCATCAAGGCCCTGCCAACTGCTGACTAGGACTCGCCCACGCTCCGCCTTGCCGGCTGCTTCCTCCTGCTAGGGGCTGACAGCAGGCAGATCCGTGCTCAGGGCTGACCGGCCTCTAAACCAGCAGCGGGCCAGAGTCTACATATTAGCCGGGGCTGTCCTGGGTCTAGGTCTCCCGCCATCTCCACTGCTTCTTCACAAACGAGCCGGTCTTTAAGTCCTCACCATCAAAAGGTGTAGGCGGCATTTCTGACACCCAATAAAATGTGTGGGAACTGGGTCTGGCTTTACCATAGCTGAACAGTGGCTAAATGAAAGGCCAGCCACTGGGAAGCCGAGGGCCAAGCTCACCAGCATGATTAGGACTTCCTGTTTATGGGGAGGACGAGGCTCCTGAGAGCACCTTTCCCTGTGGCGGCCTTTCCTGGGGTGTCCGGCACCCACTGCAGGAGGGAGCCCGTGGCCGCCCTTGTCCAGAAACTTGGTCTACTTTTCTTCTCCAGAGGGCACGTGTGCTCCTTAGACGCAGAGAGGAGAAGGTACCTCTCAACCAGGCATGGCCCCGCTGCGGTCCATCTTCTCCGCTTCCTCCTCCTGTGGGGATTTGGGGCACACACGCACACATGCACTGCCAGGGCTGACACTCAAACCATGTGGTGGCCACGTGGAATCCAGCTCCCTCAGCCACTAGGCCATGGGGACTGGAGCTCCCTTTTTTTAAAAATTACATTTTGCTATGGGGTGTATACCTGCCAGAAAGACAGGGAGAAGAAGCGAGAAAGGGAGGGAAGGAAAGAAACCACCCCCACGGGCCTGGATGGCTAGGCCACAATCCCTTTTCCTCTACCCTCCTCTCGGGACTTTGGGCGCGCACACACATGAACCAGGCATGTTTTCCGAGCTAGCTGCCAGATCCTGGACTTGAACCATGCCACTGGCCATGTGGGATCCAGTACCTGAACTACCATGCCACCCTCTGGCCCCGTTTTTTCTTTGAAGTCTACTTAGGTATTTCTTTCAGAGGGTGAGGAGATGGAGATGCCTCACAGGCCTTGTTATTCCATAACCCTCCCCCTCAGTTTCCCAGTCAATTAGGAACGCAGGTGCGCCTCAGGTACACCTGGGTTTTCAGGTCAACTGGGAACCCAAACCCAGGCTTTCCCCTGCAGCACTGCACTGTGGCACACACTGCCTGTACCACCACGGCTGGGGCAGCCCTGCTGCGGCAGGAGCGCCTCACCTCTCCTCGCCACTGGCCCACGGAGGGTCTTATTCAACTCCGCCCTGTGCTTATAGAATGTGGGGTGCTGATTAAGAGAATGTCAAAACCCGATTCTTCCAGAGGAGTGAAGCTTGCGCGTCGCCTTGCCAGGGCCTTTGTGAGTTGGTCCCTTTACGGGGGGCTGCATCTAGAATACAATGCGCCAAGCCTCCCTGTAACTGCTGCCCGCTCGCTCAGGGTTGCAGCGAGTGACAGAGTCCACTGGCCTGGCAGGGACACGAGCGAGTGTGACTACGTGGTGGCCGGGCCTGCCAGCCCTGGCTTGGCAGCTGGCGTTCACCTGGTTGGTGGTAGCGGTCAGGGGGGTTTTTAGTTTCACTCCTCCCCCATGCTACAGCAGTCACTTGAGCATGCTGGCCTCCCTCCCTCCACCTTGCCATTCCTTTTTGTAGCAGAATAGAAAGCAAAACAGCCAAGCCCGTTAGGATCGCAGGTTAGGGGCCAGCAGGCGCCGTGCCGTGGTGGTTAAGGTGCTGGATCCCACGTGGCTGACTCTGCAGTATGTGTCCTGGACCCAGGGGCTTGAAAAACAGGCTGGGTACACATGCGTGCATGCTCAAAATCCCAAGAGAAGAATGGAGAAGGGACTGTGGCATGGCCATCCCCCTGAGGAGTGATCTCTCACTTTCCTTCCCTGTCCGTCTCTCTATAGCTAGTGAATATGACCTATGACAAAAAAATTTCTTTTTTAAATCGCAAGTTAAACCAGAGATGATCCAAAATAGAACCTATCATGTTTTCTCAAAGAAAAGCCCCTGAGATTTGGGGAGCAAGCTACTCTGTTTTGATTTCTCAAAAGCATCTTGGGGGGCTGGCCCACGGTCTAGTGGTTAAGGGAGCCAGATCCCACAAGGCCAAATATCTGGTTTAAATCCCAATCCCACTGGCTTCAAAACCATACCAGGTATGTGTGTACGTTCAAAATCACAGCAGGTTAGAGAAATGAAGGGACTGTGGCGTGATCGTGCCCCACTGGAGGGTGGTGCTTTCTTCCTCTCCCTGTATCTGTCTCTCTGACTCTCTCTTGAAAGTAAATGGACCCTGGGACCAGCAGTTAACATAATGGCTATGTCACTGGACTCCCATGTGTAGTCAACCGCGGTTCAAGTCCCGGACCCGGTGGCTTAAACTCATGCTGGGTGCGTGTGTGTGCGTGCCCAAGATCCTGAGAGGAGAATGGAGAAGGGATTGCAGCGTGGCCATCCCCTCTGGGGGTGATTTCTCACTTTCTGTCTCTCTGTCTTTCTGGAGAGCGCATGCGCCCTATAGCAAAAATCTCTCAAAAAATGAAAAAAAGGAAGAAAGTACATGCATCCTCTGGCTAAAAACAAAACAAAACAAAACAAAACACAGCCTTGGGACCTACAGACGCCGTAATGGTTACGTCGCTGGACTCCCATGTAGCCAACTGTGGTTGGAGTCCCGGCCCTGGCGGCTTGAAACTCATGCCAAGCATGTGTGCGTGTGGCCCAAGATCCTGGGAGAAGAATGGAGAAGGGATTGTCACATGACCATTTTCCCCAGGGAGTGATTTCTTGCTTTCTCTCTGTCTCTCCAGTGAGTGCATATAGCAAAAACCTCTCAAAAAACAAAAACAAAAAAACAAAAAACCACAGTGTTTTGGCCCCTTAGCCCGATCCTGCTGTCCTGGGAAGGACAGGTGATCTGTAAATGGCCCCTCGCCCCAGGGGAGATGACACTACTGCCATCCTGCAGAAGGGGAGCAACCCACTACTCCTGTTGTCCTGGAAAAGTAAACTCTGGGAACGCCGCAGCCGCCGAAGTCCAGAGACCAGCGCAAGCCCTGGGGGCGAGAGGCACCTGACTGAGAGAACGGCAGGTGGTCGTGGCGGGAGAAAGGCTGGCCTGCTCTGTCAGCCGCTTAACATCCCCAGGAGGAGGACGAGGCCCCCAACAGAACGGCCCTTCCACCTGGCTGAGGACAGGGCCGACCCTCACCCCCAGCTCTATAAACCCGCTGTAACACATGGCCGCGCTCTCCTTTCACAGGGGGAAACAGAGAGCAAGACAAACCTCCAAAGCCAGTTTCTTTAGCACTGCCCAGCACATGGAGGAAAGCAGAGCACGTCGGAACAGGGAGTGAGGGGCCTGGGGAGCCTGCACCCTGCCTTTCTCTTTACAACCTCTCGGTCATTAGGTCTCTCCTGACTCCTCCTATCTTGCCAGAGGGGCTGAAGACAGAGCCTTCCAAGCCTCTTTTGGCTCCTCTTTCAGGGAGTCTTCCGAGATTTTCCCAACACCTTCTCACCCTCGTGGCCCTTGAACATTCAGCCTGGGTTCTGCAAGCCCCACATGACTTAGAAGCTCCTTGAGAGTGAGGGCTACTCCGGTTCAGCTCAGCCCTCTGGCTGTCAAACTCGCTGTTGGGCTCAAAAACGCTGGTTGGACGGAATCTCTCTCATCTCTTTCCATGTGAGCCCCTCTGCCTGAGGGCCCACCGCACATTCGACTCGTTGCCCCTTCTTCCCGTTCAGCGCTCGGCAGCAGGACTGCTGTCCTGTACGCAGTCGGTGCCCGGTGCAAGGCTTTCAGAGGTCCGTGGGCTCACCTGACAGAGACAGGGAGATGGAGGGAGAGCAAGCACCCCCATGGGGGTGGCCATGCCAGAGTCCCTTCTCCAGCCTGCTGGGATTCGGGGTACACACACACACACCCAGCATGTTTCTCAAGCCACGATGCAGGGATTCGAACCGCGGTCAGCCATGTGGGATCTAGCTCCCTAACCAGGCCCCGCTGGCCCAGCAAGAGCTCTCCTGAGACAGCACAGTGCTGAGTTCACCAGTCTGCCTGCCTGCTTGGGCTCGACTCACTTTTCTGGCTGTGTGACCATGGCTGTCACTGTGCCTCTCTGAGTGCCCCGTGGTGTGACAAGAAGAGCCCCATGGGAAGCACCAGGGCACAGAGCCACGCCCTCGCTGCTGCTGCTGCCGGCTCCCAGGGGCCTTCGGGGAAGGAGACTGGCAAGACGGGGAGGTGAGAAGTCCCAAACCCAAGCCTAGGGCTCCAAGCCCTGTGCCGAGTACGCCCCCCTGAGATGGGAAGGGGGCTGGGAGGAGGGTGGGACCCTCGTTCCTTACACAGTCCTCAGGACAGGTGTGGCAGACCTGAGCAGAAGCACCTCTGGCATGGTACCTGGGGGGGGTCTGCACCCACAAGCTCACCCAGGCGAGCACGAGAACCTCAGGGACCGTGTCACAGCGTCCCCGGGGAGAGCAGCAGCAGCCCAGCTCCACCAAACTGCCCTGCAACAGAGACACGGCATG